ACTAGCGGCCGCTCGCGACTTCGTGCACGTTAACTTAAATTTATTGAAAATCCCACAGGAACCTGACCTTTTTCCAGGATGAAAAGTATTCTATGTCTTAATCCAGGTCATGCACTATATGCGTACTAAATTTCATCCAAATCCATTCAGTAGTTTTTGAGCGAACAAACATACTAATTTGCACATTCAAAATTATTAGGATAGGATATTTATTGTTATTGAAAATTTTGTTTTGGGCAAATTTCGAGTTGCTCTGAATGACTTGTTGTATGAAAATAAAAGACTCGAATTACAGACTAGAAACACTGTAAGGTTAAAAGTAAAAGTTAACTTCTTAATGGTCGCAAGTTTGATGTGACCTTTCCTTCTGCATTGCGTCTCTCCTGACTCCTGACTGCTGACAGAGGCCGCGCCGTGACTCGCGATCGGCACAATATTGGCACACCATGACCCGACACAATCCGTATTACATGCCAATATATGTTACTGGAACGGTACCATTAAAAATTCTCGGAGTTTTATCACGTTATATTATTTTCTTTTCTTCTAAAACTTCTAGCGTTCCTCTCCGCTACCAGTAATATGTCATAAAAATCTTGTTAATGAATTATGCTATCACCGCATCGCATACTGTACTGAGGTTATTTTGTTATTATATTTTGACTAAATATCGAAAATATTCGGAATTTTGACAAATAAAAAACATTAATGTACACTACTTATTTATATTCTACAGTTCTAGTTTTAGGGGCGCCTTTTTTGTCAAAATTCGAAACTGCGCCATCTATCGCACAACTAGAACATTACAAATTTCAATAAAGACAATGATGCAAATTGTTGAGCGTCACGGATTCCACCCGTCCGCGTAACCTGGTATAATCAATCTTCACCCCATTCTAATCGGTGGCCGCTTCACACCATCAATCTTTAGCTATTTAAAGCGCTTCAAATGAATGTGACAGTGCTCATGGCGCTTTTGTTGTTGTCAATGAAGACAAAACAACATGGAAACTAATTCATTGATGTTAGCATTTTGCTACAAATTGATAATTTTGGAGTTGCACTAAATACTGGTACTTTTTTATTGATACGATTTCGTATTCTATTAATCCTGAGAAAGTTAAAATATGTAAATTTATTTACCCGTGGCACTGTGTTTTTTCCTACTTTTTTACATTAAAGATACAAAATGCGTAATATTCCTAAAGTTAATTGAAAACATAAAGAAATCATGAACGGTTTTACTCCTACATTATACGTTACGCGACGTTACGTTAAACTTCATGTAAAGGTATAAATTAAGTGGCTCGACTTTTACGCGGTTGTCAGAGCATCTAAAGGTGTGTTAAACATAAAAGAAAAATAAACTCTACCGACTTCATTTTGGCATTGCGTAGGTAGAAATTGTCCGTAGCATGAACCATTTCCTTTTTGTACGTTTAATTTCATTGGAAGCTTACGCAAGCATCATAATTATGCATTATCCACCTCCTGAAGCAACTCGGATGAAACAGTCAAATTCAACCCGTCCCCGCCCAGAAATATCGAGTCGCTTCTAATCAATCAAGCTCAGATTAACACTCGTCTCTGCGCCAGACAAAAACAAATGAGCTCCGGAACAAAAATCGAATTAACCACGAACCACGTTTAAGACACCAATTAAATCTCTAACAAAGGCTATCTTCAATGAGAAGAGGAAAAAATTTGATAGATCAACTCTTTAACCTAATCTATCATCGGCTATTCGCCATGTGAAACCCGAACTTATTTTAATAGACTCTCGGTCGATTTTTATATGAACTCTTCCAGAGGTAAACTGAGAAGGCTGTTGGCACAACATCTTATATCGATTAAACATATAATTAATCACGGGAAATGATTCCGAATGAGATGTTATTAGTTATACCACTCCCTATTAACAAGTGAAACAATAGCTTTTGGTATACATGATGTTTTAAACTGTATTTGTATCACAATTGTAAAAAAAATATTGATAATATGGATAAAGTATTCAGTTGTTTTGGTTATCTACTTGATAAACAAAACTTAAAATTGAAAGATAGGTACTAATCTTTTATAATACTCAATCAAATTATATTAATAGAAGCTATCTGTTAACATAAATAGTCTTTTTATTAAACTTTCAGAATCATTAGTAAGGAAGAATTCCGCTCTTAAAAATTTATTCAAATAGATACGCAAATAAACATGCATAAATGAAACAGGAACAGTATGATTTACGTGACTCATGTTTGCTTTATTGGTACCAATTCTAAGCCGGCTTCTTCTTGGAATGCTCGTCACAAATCATATTAATACGTCTCAATATAAAATCAGCCTGTAGCTGTAAGGGGCGCCGATGGCCGATCAATCAGCTGCTAACGAGGTGGTCACGTGGTAACAAGCCTTACTGGAGGACGGAGGTGTCCTCTACAACTTCAACTCTTTAAATAGGTACAACCAAAACACTATAGACAAACAGCTAAATACATAATCGTTTTTGGATAAGCATTAAATTTATTATCGTAACCTTCGCTATCACATGCATTATGTAAACGATAAAAAAAAGAAAATGGAATGTCTCGGCAATGACAAAGTGGTCAGTATTTTAAATGCCCAATAAATTGAGATTGCATCTAACCCGCCAATAATTCTAAATGCAACCGATTTATTTACGATCACAACAGATCAAAATCAACGCGGCAAAAAGCTAATCGATTCTGGAACACCCACCATGCTAGGTATGATTACGATTTGATTAACATTTACATAATCGTTTGTCGCTTACATTAAAATTAAAGCACAGATTAAACGCTCGGTCGATCAAAATATTAAAAAAACAACTATAGTTTTAATTTCTTGTTTTTTTTTTATGTAGACGAAGACAGAGTGCAGAGAAGGCGCGGGGCGTGGCGGGCTAACTTTCATTACTCATGAGCAATAATAAATGATAAAACATTATTAATGCGAAGAGATCAGTCCGAGTGATGTCGGCTCACATGTGCGAGATTAACCTGACTCGAATAAATTAATTCTACTAATTAAAAGTTTTATGTTTGCCCCTCTGGCATGGATGTAATAATATCTCCAAGATGATGTTGCCACATTAAAAGTTAACATTTAAAGAAAACATTTTTGAACCACAATAAAAGGGTAAAGTATTTGTTACCTCGTTGAATTCTTTTTTAACAAAAATATTTAATTTATTGTATTGGATATTGAGACGAATATTGATTAGGTTTCGCTGTTATCGTGTTCCGCGTAATAACAAGCAGAAGTTTATTGGGTACGCTCGTATAATGATAAATTGAATAATAATTTATTCCGTACGAGATAAGGAGGTTGCTCTGATCGCGAAGTGAGATACTCTCAACGTGTCGAGGGTGGCCATTACAGCGGTTAACAAGGACGGACGTACTTACTACCATTTAAATATTAAATAAAAGTAGTTTTTACGGGTTAGATGTACTGAATTTATTTATTTATTGATGTATCGCAGCCTTTTAAGGTCTGCGTCGTCTGAATAATGATTTAAATAAATAAATTAAGTACATGTAACCCGTAAAAACTAGTTTTATGTAATGAGGGATGTGCGTGAAAACCTAGGAAATAAATATTTAAAAAAATACTAACGAATTTACTTGACGTTAGTGTTATAATTGTATTGTTTCCAATTTTTAGAGCTATACTGAGGTTATGAACTAACAGTGTATTTTGAGCACTTAAATGATTTGTGATGTGAATTTAATGTAATTTTTGGTGTTTGTTATGATTAACAAAGATGTTATTAAAAATGTAGTCTGTAATATATCAATGTTTTGTTTCCATAATTATGTGAAAAACGTAAAAAAATATAAAGACTATTTTTATTTGATAATACACCTCACGTTTCACTTCACTTCATTATTGATGTACTACAAACTTCAACAGGCAGGTTCAACCTACTAAAGATAAACTGTAATAACTTTTATTTATAAATTTATAATCGAAGAAAAAAGTAAAAAGTATTGCATCTTCTGCTAACTAAATCTGAATCCTTTCTTCACACTTCTCAGTTAAATCGAATTAAAGTAAGAATATAAGCATTTGCTTTTATCTTAAGAATCACTTCAAAATTATGTTCTTGATAACACCACTTGCCCTGACTAATCTCAAGATGTTAATTACTAGAGGACAACAATAAACACTGATTTGACTAACAACGAGACGGTTGGATATCAACAAGATCTATCTAGCGACAATGATGGCGCCATTCACAACAAAGATCAATTAATACCAGACAGAGATAGGAGACATATATCGCTTCCAGTAGAGAGAGACAGCTGGTCGGTTATCAATCACGCGCCTGCGCACGATCTCAACGCCCGAGGCGATCGAGCGATCTCCCGCTTAATTATTTCTATTATGATATTTAAAAATATAATGATTATCTGTGAGTATAAGAACCATATGGCGAATTCCCACACTCGATCCGTAAGTAACACGTCCAATCCATAACCTTAATTAATACGAATGAATATACGAGCGAGAAAGCAATATGGATGCAATTAATAACAGTCAATTTGATTCATTCGATTGCATAAATCGATAATTTCCAATTTAATACCGTTTAATTTCGTTAGAGACAACTTCGTCTTCATTCCTACGTGAGCTTTGACCTCTAACTTCCATTAATAGCTCATAGTTCTAAAATATAGAGTCCCGCAGTCGTTGATCACCGCGATGTTATCGCCGATCTCTACAATATAAAATCGTTTATTCAGTCAATGACTGATTTAAGTTACATCTGATTCGTATCTCATGACAAATGTACTAAGACCCGCGCACCCCAACTACGTTCAAATAAACAAGGGCCTAAGTATGCTGGTCGCTCGATATCATTTCGATCGATGGACGTGAATGGGGCATTTGGCCCCGTGATAAATTACAAGCAATATCAATCGGTACAGAGGATCAATCAAAACATGCTTAATGTTCGATTTGTGGGAATATGGACTTACCTCGCTTCTGCATGAAGGAGAACAAATCGTCGAGGAATTCCTTCCTCTGTGGATCGTCACTGATTTCGTACAACTGCAACAAAAGAAAATAATATTTATTCAAATTGGCTTTATTATAGAGAACTGGATATTTTATTCATGATATTCAGCGTGAATAGGAACGCGTAGGTAACGTCTAAGCGCAAATAGTAAAGACAATTTATTTATTTTTTTACATCAAGCTAAGTGGGAAATAATCAAAAAGTTTACTGCTTTAAGTTAAACCAATATATTAGATAAACTATTTCTCTCTCAAAACAGACTTAATACCCATCTTCATACTTAGAAAAAGCTTTTAAAATTAAACGTTTCTATGTAGGTATTTATTATTCCTTGGTAAGTACTTTAATAAAAAATATTAGCATTCAAGTCAGGAAACGGCATCTAACGGCAACTCAATTACCACGTGTGCCCGCATTTCCGGAAAAAGACATACACTTCGCATTATAATTTACGCGCATAATAAAATAATTTTAGTTTCATGCTCTAACGATTGCATTGTAATGACGAATTAAAGTAGTTTTGACATATGACTTTTTAGGTACATTTTGTTAAAACTAAAGTCTGCACTCAGAAATATTGATTTAGCGTAAAGACACGATAATTAATTGTGGTTGTTCACAGCGGCCATCAGTATAACTTCACAAAGATCTTTCGCTTAAAAAGTTGATTTTGAATATTTTAGAAATTTCCTTAAATATTATATAATCGAAGTATTTTCCTTTACATTGAAAGTATGAAAAGCACGAAAATATATTTAATTTCTTATTGAAATTGCATTAAATTCATTCATTTATGTTAACTCGTTCTACTCGACGTCAACTTTGCACTTAAGCAGGTGATATTTAATTACGTATATACGAATGTCGAAGTACAGTTGCACACATATGTGTTAACCGCAAAAGCTCAAATTCTCGCGTCAATTTCAAATCTTATATCCAACGAGGTGTAGCTGAAAGAGGGTTGTAGGAAATTGACAATATGAGACATGTTGACTTGATGTTGATTGTACCTATTAACTGTATTCGCTATCGTGCTTCCACACCCCACAGCGAGGTTGTCATTTCGTATAATTACCCCGGTATCCGGTAGTAGAGCGTGTTCAGATAAAACTATATCTTCACCGATAAACGTTAAACGCTCGATTGGCTCAGAAATGGGCGGGAGGCGGCACTGAACGGCAAATTATTAAAAAAAAGCCAAGTGTGAGTCGCACAGTAACCGCCTCGTAACAAAATGTAGACTAGAATTGAATCTAGACTTGAACTGAAGCTGTCACTTTTGTTTGCTAAAAAGAAGACAGCGACAACATTAGGTTTAAACAAAGACCAACTTTAGTCCGCGTTTTGGAATAAGACGGAGAGGGTTCTGTACTACTTATGTGGCTAGGGAATAGCAAAAATAAATAATTAAAACTACAGGTGATCAAAAGCCTGGCAGCTACCTTGGCCAACGGATTAGCCTCGCTATCCAACGTGGAAATGCTGCCAGCCTATTGGGCACCATTCCTGACAGCGGCGCTGAGGGTGATATATTTTTTTATTTTGTAAATTGTATATTATTTAAGTTCTTAGTTATTTCTAGTTTTTACGTTTTTAGACATAAGGTAGTTTTAAGCTTTTGTAATTAAAACTCAATTCAGTGGTATTACAATTGTATGTAAAAACATACGAAAACCACACAAATTTGTGTTTGTACAGTTCGTTGCTATTAAAACCTTTATAACTTGCATATCATCTAACTCCACCGCACATTTGATGGTTAAATTAATCATAAGTTAACTAGACGTCAAGATTACTGATACAAAGGTAAGAAAGTTTACACATCAGATTCGTGACAAACTTTAAAATAGCGATCAAATCTATTTCAGGAATGTTTACATCAATAAATACATGGAAAAGGTCACCTGTGAGAGTATGACATCACACACCACAAACACGGGCACAACCCGTTAAGCAATCATCCGATCGTCCGGTCCAAAGCAAAAGTGTTCCAAAGCTGTGAAGGCACAAACACGGCGCCGGCCGACCAGGTCATACAGAACAGAACGGACATGCCCGATCAAACACCCGACTATTTGCATTGGCCGAACAATTACATCGAAGCACTTAGCGTTACGACGAACTGGGCCGAGGAGACAACGAAACGCCATTTGACACTTCCTGTTTCCATCTAATATATTTGTACACACGCCTCATTAAAGTATTGTAATGGATGCAAAGAGGTCGAGTCGTGCGAATTAACACCTCGTCCATCTAAAGTACTCAAAAGTCAATTGCGAAGATGTAACTTTGTTTAAGTTTAATTAAGTAGAAACCAAAGCATTTGGAGCAAAGAACATGTTATTTACAAGCGTATATTAATTGTACCACAATAAGTGGAACTGCTTTACAGTTCACCCTCTGTGAAGTGAGCCTAGAATACAAGATAATATGAATAGTTTTTTGCAAAAACACCGAAATTTTTTTATAGCCCTGGTCTATGCAAAAGAAAATTTTGAGCTTATTGAATACATGCCATGAACTGTGCATACTTTAGAATTAACATTATTTATTTATATCTAATCCGCCACACACGATTCTCCTAATAATTGATTCGTAACAAAAACTTAAACTAGACCACAAGTGCATAAACTATAAAACAAATGAAACGCGTTCTTTCGTAAATAATAATTGGAACGTTGCTTTTTTTAAGCGGCGTTAATCGAAAACGTTCCGGTTGTGATTAATCGCGGGGGGCGAGGCCGAGTCGACAGTGACGATCGCCAAGATTGATGTGGTCCGAGATCGGCTGTTACCGCCATTAGGAGTCAAGCGAGGATGACTCGCGGTCAGGCCGACCATATTGACACTACTTACCCCGGGATTTCCAGCTATAGCTATGACTTTCGAAGAGCCAGTCGTCTTATCCAAGGGATTTAGTAGTTTGTTCCATTTTCAAAAATTCGGTCAGACTGCTGAGACACAGGCATTTTTATGGTAGATAGGGTTTGCGTGCTATGATCCACCACGCAGGCCCAGTACTGATTGATGAATGCTAGCAAGCTAGGCAGCCAAGACAATCGGTTTAGCGTGCCTTCCGAAGCAGGAAGGAACTCGAGCTGATAAAATTTTGATCGCCCATCCCATCAATTATACAAAGTTAATGCTTTTGTTAAACACTTTCCATATTATTATGTCACAATAAACTCGTTGATATCTTAAAAAAAACATTTCTTAGATTATTCAGTGCAAACATACACTGGACACAAGTTCTGATGATGAGAACTATTCCTGACGAAACGTTCCTTTGCCATGAGATGAGAGCAGCATTATCATAACAGGTTCTAGTTGGTACAATGGATATTAAACCGGTAACCAAACAACGTAATACGACATGGTGACAACGAGCTTTAATAATTTCACTGCTGGTGGTGGCTGCTACTGCTTCTCATTGTTTCTGGACCAATTTTTTTTTTACTTTCACTTTAGTAAGCGGAAATTTATTAATCCTATATGAAGGTGAGTCCATAGATCAGTGACTGACAATATGAAAAAACTGTTCAGACCACAGAACATAATTTTCTCTTCTGTGGTTCAGACTACAACCTATGAGCTAATTTTTCTTAAAATTGTGGTATTGCACTCTCATCAAACTCCTTTAAGAATTTAAAAGCTCTCTCTCTCAAAGAATATAAAAAAAACACAACCTTATATTAAGATATTATTTTCATTGGGGGTCATTACACCTACTATTAACAACTTCATTAAATTCTTAGGGTTAATTAACAGAGCTAGCTAGGGGACCAGAATGAAATCCACCTTCTTCGATTATTATTGATAAGGGAATAATATAGCCTTCTCTTTGCCAGCAGCTACCAAAGAAATTATTTCTTTACCTGCTATCTTACTCACCAACGTAACACTGCATATTATTTGTCTGCAACTTTTAGCGGCATAAACATGCTCGACTGAGCACTCCAATCCAAATATTTAGTATGTTGAACTCTAGTATAACTCAGTATGTTTATACATCACTATTGAGAAGTAAGTTTTTCATGATTCGATGCGTGATCTGAGAGTGGGTCAAAAAAGTCTACCGCTAATCGTTTTGTTAACAATCGCGATAGTTTGTAAAACTTTTTCGAAACGATGTGAGTCACCTAAAAGAATGCAATTTTCGACTGACACGTACGTTAATCTGTGGCACCCTCAATGCTTTGCCACCTCGTGAGAAGCTTGGCATGAAAATGCGAGATTTTCACAATTATTTATTTATTTAACACACGGCTCTCGCTTCCACTGTGACCTGGTCGCAGCCGGTCGCCCACCACGCGACAATATTTGAATCACAAAACGCCGCTAAGCCGCGTAATCTTCATTGTTGAGCGAGCCAATTACCGCCTCTCCCCTTCCGCTCCGGTGAATATATAAATAAATATTGTGAAAATATCATCCAGCCAGCAAAACGTAATAATAACTCGCGACACGGCCGAATTATTTTCCCAGAAAATCGGACGACAATAGCTCATGGTGGAATTAACGAGGTATTTTTTATATCACATTATACTTCTGTTCGGAAATTCTTCTAACGGAAAGTTCTTTATATTCAAATCCCTGGGGAACATTTTAGTTGTATAAAAAACGGTTATATCTACATTCTTATACTTAAAATATTTCGTGTTTATTAATGAAATCCAACTAATTTCAATTACCTTAATGCATTAGTCTCATCAGACAATCTGTCAAACTTCTTCTTTCATTAGGGACATTTAATTGGGTCAGTATCAACAATTTACTAGTTTCATTGATAAACAATTGAATTATTATAATGGCGTTATAATTATTCTGGATCTATTTAGGGATTTGCTTAATTACTTAATGTGTTTACTCTAGCTTTTAATGTCTGTAAGTACTTCATCTTATCGTTAAACGATTCTGAAGAGAAGAACTAAGGAATTATAAATAATAACAGTTTGTTGTTATATCTAATCACTAAATATACCGAAATCGTAATAATTATGAGATCCTCCAAGAGAAAAGAGTCCAGATGTCG